TGTGTGTGTGTGTGTGTGTGTGTGTGTGTGTGTGTGTGTGTGTCTGTGTGTGTGTGTGTGTCTGTGTGTCTGTGTGTGTTGGGATTGAATCAGAACAAGAGAGAGCCAGAAAACTTACATATTTGATTTTCTGAGGCAAAAACAGGTCCTGGTGGTTCCTTCCCTCATGGGTGTTAAACAACTTAGCTAAATGGGTAGTTTGCTTTAAATCTTATTTCACTTAAAAAGATTCAGCAGTGACATGCACCTTCCCTCCTGAAAATTATGGTTGATAAGAACGCAGTACATTCTACCATCTTCTCCAACAGGAGTTTATAGGTAACACTCTTCATACATTCAGCCAGAGTGAGTAACTCCTTCCTAAGGTTTAAGAAAACATGAAAACCACAAAGAATGTTTGCTGTCATTTTCTCGTGGTTAGTGGAATAGATGTCTTTCCTCAAGGAAAATGCTTTAGGGCAAAACAAAGCCGTATTCATTAATATGTATATTGTTTAGTAATTGGGTGGACTATGGATTATATAAAATCTGCTTTCAGTTCAAGGATCCTCCTTTCCTAAGAAAGGCTTATAAGCAAAATGGTAGGAAGGCAGGCAGAGGATAAAGCGTTAAAGAAATCAGCTGATTCCAAGGGCAAGACCAGCTCAAGAAAGGACAAAGCAAGCACATTGAAAGGAAACCAGGCAATGTGAACGTGATTTTGTCTGGAGGTTATGGCTGGCTTTATTTATAAGGCGATTGTCAAATCAACCTGTAGAATATGGATGAGGCGAAATGCAGGGGTAGAGTATTATTCTAGATCATCTGTAACTTTTCAAGTACAACCTTCATGCTGAAATCCCAGGGAGAATGTAAGTGACTCCAACAAAGAAACCTGTCAGTCAGTGAGGAGTGTTTATTTATTATCCCCCTGGGCCAGGCACTGTTCTAGCTAATATTGAAATGATACAAAATAAAGAGTAGTCATCACCCTTATAATCTCGGGAGAGCAAATGGAGTTAATCTGCAGACACACATAGACACACACCCTCTATGTGGGTGGTCAAGAAACTCAAGTATATGGACATATAACAGCCTCACTTAGTAAAATCATGATTGGAGAATTAAATTTACAAAATTAGGAGATCTGGGGAGTAATTAGTTTTATTACAAATACAGTCATGTGCTGTATAAAGACATTTGGGTCAATGATGGACTGAATATAGGACCATGGTCCCATAAGATTATTATGGAGCTGAAAAATTCCTACAGCCTAGTGACATAGTAGCTGTTGTAACATCATAGCAAAACTCATTACTCACATATTTCTGGCAATGCTAGTATAAACAAACCTACTGCACTGCCAGTCCTATAAAGTATAGCACTTACAGTTGTGTCCAGTACATAATATGTGATGGTGATAATAAATGACGGTTACTGGTTTATGTATTTATCATAATACACTTTTCAGTATTTTAGAGCGTGCTGTTTCTACTTACAAAAAAAAATGTTTGCTGTAAAACAGTATGCAGTGTTATGCGGGCAGCAACCTCATACATCTCATGTTCACCGCCTCTCTTTATTACGTCATTTTCTCTTGTGTTTGACTAAATCTCGGTTGTTTCCCATGATAATATGTTGTACGAGCTTATAGACTTGGAGGCTATACCATGCAGCCTAGGTGTGTAGTAGGCTATGGCATCTAGGTCTGTGTAAGTGTCCACTATGATGTTTGAACATGACAAAATCGCCTAATGATGCACTTTTCAGCACATAGCCCCATTGCTAAGCAGCACATGACTATAGATTAAAATGCATTCATGAAGCATGTCTTTTATACAACAAATCTAATTATGCTATTAAAATTGGGCACACTCCCACTCTCTCTCACATATCTGCAGAACAATTTTAGAACATATTTGTTGTGCAAATGTGGATTCATGTTGGTGTTGAGGAACTTCAAAGGTGATTAAATAAGGTTGTGTCCTCTAATTGTAAGTTCTTTAAAGTTAAAGACTGGGCCTTATATCCTGCACTCTGATGATAGAAGGGGTAAAGGAATAAAAACGAAAGGATGGGATAGGTGAGTAAAGGTTTCAAAGAGGAGCTGAGCTTAGAATTCTGAGAGGGGAAAAGAGAGGTTGGTTGGCCTCAGTTGGTATCCAAATACAGAAAGAAGGCTTGGCATTTTCAGCATGACTGAGAAAGGGTCAGCTACTGGTTTGGTCCAGGAGTATGTCTGTACCCAAGCATCCCTGGATTCTTTTTCAGGGTAGCTCTCCTTAATACTCAGTAGATGGCCTTGTCAGGCCAGGAAGAGGGCATCTCACAAAGAGACATTTCGGGTTCCACCCCATCAGCATACAAGGTGTGGCAATTAAGTTTACACATTTGTTGTAACGAAGTTGCTAACCTTTTTTGATATCAGAGGGATTGATTATTCATTATGAATTTGTGCCAACTGGACAAACAGTTAACCGCGTTTACTATTTGGAAGTGCTGAAAAGGCTGCGTGAAAAAGTTAGACAAAAACAACCTGAACTTTTCACCAACAACTCATGGCTCTTGCATCACGACAATGCACCAGCTCACACGGCACTGTCTGTGAGGGAGTTTTTAGCCAGTAAATAAATGACTGTGTTGGAACATCCTCCCTACTCACCTGATCTGACCCCCAATGACTCTTTCTTTACCCGAAGATACAGGAAATATTGAAAGGAAGAGATTTTGATGACATTCAGGACATCAAGAATAATGTGATGACAGCTCTGATGGCCATTCCAGAAAAAGAGTTCCAGAATTGCTTTGAAGGGTGGACTAGACCCTGGTGTCAGTGCATAGCTTCCCAAGGGGAGCACTTCGAAGGTGACCATAGTGATATTCAGTGATGAGGTATGTAGCACTTTTTCTAGGGTGAGTTTGTGAACTTAATTGTCAGACCTCATACATCTTAAGGATATAGTGATCAGTCTTTTTCAATCCCTTGTGGAGTGCCATTCCTGGTGGAATTGTTTGCATTGATTTAACAAAAGATTGAATGATATTTCTGATTTGCTTGATGTTAATTTAATGCAGTCCTAGTAAGTATGCAAACTTCAGAGGACAGAAACTTTGTTTTCACTGCTACAGTCTCAACTCCTAGAACAGTGCCTGACACAGAAGGCATTCAATAAATATAGTATTTGTTAAATGAATGAGTGCTATTTTGGCCATTAGTCTTTACTTTTGCGTTATCCACCCTGCTTCACAGAGCTGGAAATTGGAGGGAACTCAATTCCAGTTTACATTCTTCCTTAGGCCCAGAAACTCTGGCCAAGGGTCCTGGCCAAGCCCTTTGGGAATGAGGATCCCCTCGAAATTAATGACCAGTCAAGGCCACGGGCGGGGAGGGGGTTTGGGGGGGGGGCGCAGGAAGGCGCAGAGAAAGAGTTGCAAGGAATTCTTCCTCACTTCTTTTTTGCTTTTACAACACCCTTTGCCACGTATCTTGATCTTTATTAGGGGTTAGGGGCGTCCTGTGGGAAGGGAACTAAGGGCTGCTTCCCTAGTTCCTGGCTGCATTCCTCAGCAGGGCCCTTGGGGTACCATCTGTAGGAGTCCCGCAGCACCCCCTGGCTGTGCCAGCACCTGTTGGATGGCCACTTGGCGGCCCTAGCCAGTGCGAGCGGACGCAATCAGGGGGTGCCCTCCCGGAGCCTCCGACCCCCGCCCGCCCCCTCCGGCCCCCAGCCGGAGAGCGGCTCAGCTTCCTAGCTCGCTGGCCCTGCACTCCGCCAGGGCTCGGCCCACGGCCCCCTCCTCCCGACTGCCGCCGGCGGGGGAAGGTAGAGAAGGGGAGGGACAAGCAGGAGCCTTGGCCCGCCCGGCCTCCTCTCTCTCCCCGGTGCCGAGACGCCCAGCCGAGCCCCGAGGTCTGTGTGGAGCAGGAGGCGCGAGGGGAGAGCCCCGGGAACGCCCGGAGCCCCGCGGTGACCCCGAGCTGCCGGATTTCCCCGGACTTCGAGGAGCGGGGGTCGCACCCCAAACAAGGTGAACTTTGATCGCAGAAAACTCAAGCCAGGTGCCGGGATCCGTGCTGCAGCGGTTGCTTCCAGGCGCAAGGCTGTGCGCTGGGCTGGGGAGCCAGAGCCCCGTGGCCTCCCTCCGCCCGCTCCCGGGGCGGCCTCGGCCCGGAGACCCTCCGCCCCGCTCCGGCTCCGCGGCCCCGGGTCCCGCCGCGGAACCCTCGCCTTGTTTCTTCCCCCTCCCCCTTTGGGGGTGGGGGTGGGGCGGGAGAGAGGGGCGCCGGGAGAGCTGCATCTATTGGCAGCTTTGTGATTGATCAGAAAGTGCTCGCCGCCAATTTGGTTTCGAGGCTGGCTTCGTGCGACCCTTGAGTTTTCGCCTCTGTCCTGTCCCCCAAACTGACAGGTGCTCCCAGCAAGTTGCTGGTGACTTCTCGCCGCTCCCCCAGCTCCCCCGCGTCCCCACCCCCTCTTTCCTCCCGTGCCTTCACCCCCACCCCCACCACTTCGGCACAGCTCAGGATTTGTTTAAACCTTGGGAAACTGGTTCAGGTCCAGGTTTTGCTTTGATCCTTTTCAAAAACTGGAGACACAGAAGAGGGCTCTAGGAAAAAGTTTTGGATGGGATTATGTGGAAACTACCCTGCGATTCTCTGCTGCCAGAGCAGGCTCGGCGCTTCCACCCCAGTGCAGCCTTCCCCTGGCGGCGGTGAAAGAGACTCGGGAGTCCGGCTTCCAAAGTGCCCGCCGTGAGTGAGCTCTCGCCCCAGTCAGCCAAATGCTCCTCTTCGGGCTTCTCCTTCTGACATCTGCCCTGGCCGGCCAGAGACACGGCACTCAGGCTGAGTCCAACCTGAGTAGTAAATTCCAGTTCTCCAGCAACAAGGAACAGAACGGTGAGTCTTTTTCCCCCAGCCTCTCCTGCTTGTGTCTCGCTGTGTGTGTTACATTGGTATTGTGCATCGGTGTGTGATGTACACCAGCCTGCAAGGGTAGAGTCGCCTTTCTACCCATGCAAATGCGTGCTGCGTTCATTGGCATGGGGTTTCGGAGGGTGCCGCGCAGTTTGCAACTGCGGGAGCTGCCACAAAGCTCTACCAGGGCAAACAGGAGTGCCACTGCAGCCTCAGCTCAAGAGGGGACCTTCTGCAAGCGATCGTGAACGTCAGTTCAAACGCACACTACAGGACCTCTCATTGCCAGAGTTATAAGTTCAAGAACTGCCTCTAAAAACGAATCCAAAAATGAATGAGTCTTGGCATGTTTGACTTTACTCAGATTTTTTTTTATTGGGTTGGGGGGTGTTTCAGGAAATGTATCAGCCGCATTAATTGAGCCCTCTTAAGTGGAAAGGCATCAATTAATCAGTAAGTAGATAGGAAAGGTCAAGAGGCCATGTGGACTTTTTAAGGGGGGAATTTAAAAATGTATTTCTCTGGTGCTCTTTTTTTTTTTTTTTTAATGTGCCTTTGTGTGTACGCTGAAGTCCTTACCTTTCTTTCTGGCTGTGTGTTTTTATATGTGTTGGTGAATGACTGCTATTTTGTGTGTGCGGGAAACGACTTAATCCTGCATAGGAAATGAGAATTACTTTTAGCTTTCAAGTGTACCTGAAATGTTTAGAAAACTCTCAGATGCAAGTTCCCTTGGGCTGGGATTGCACAGAGCTGGAGAAAGGCTCCTTTCATAAAGTGAGGGCAGCTTCAGGGTGTGTAATTTGCTTAGCCTCTGAACCCCATATGATTTACATCATTCAATTTCTAAACTCTTTTCCTCCTGATCTACCATTATGAAATCATTTTTGAGAATACTTTGTAAATAGAAATTTTATACTGCACATGAAACCACAATGTTAATGCAGGCTGTCTAAAATTAGAATATTAAACACCCTGTTTACAAGTGGTGGCTCTTAATGTTATTTGAAGAGAAATGTACATGTTTTTAGTGCTTTGGATGTCATCCATTCAGAATGCAAGCATGCTGTCACTTCGTTAACCAGGAGAAGTGAACACAAACAACATACCTAGAAAATCAGAATTGTGTGTGCTGTATTTTTAGGTCACAGCAACTTTTTCTTTTTGGATTGTGGTGTTTCCGAGCTTCAACTTTGAATGTAAACTCTCTAAAGTGTTCATCTTTAAGGAAGCACAGAAAGTTCTGAAGTACAAAAATAGATTAAGGATTCCTAGGACCTTGGCAGATATTATCTGTGTTTGTTGTGTGCACAGCAATCTATGGATCACATTTATGAGCCAGTGTTGATGTGGTTGCTTCTTACAACTTGCTAATATGATGGCACATGGCACCTGCAGGCTGCTTGAGCTGCTGATCAAAGGGCAGCCAAAGGATCTATCTCTAATCACAGGAGCTGCAGAGGACTGGGGGAAAGTGATCAAAGGAGCCCCAGCACCAGCTGTACCCTGGCAGGAAACAGATCAGACCAACCTTTGTTCTTTCTCATGTAAAATAAATGTCCAGTTCAAAATATTGCTTCTTACTAGACAAGCGTCTCCAGAATGACAATGCCCAACATTCCTGGCTTCTGACTTCTATTTTTTATCCTTCCTGTCCCATATCATTTCTCCTACTGCTCTGACTTATCAAGCCTGTCCTGGCATCTGTCATCTTCCTGATTCCTTTCTCTACTTTTGCCTCTCATTGTCCTTTCCACGTCATTCTTTCTTGTGATCCACATACCATGATCACTTTGTAATGGGCCCCAGAGCTCTCACGTGGTCATTGGCCACTTTTAATGAGTAGGTTCACACCCTTCAGAGAGGTAGTTCATTAAGCCAGGCCACACACACATTCTGTTGCCATCACAGGCTGGGCCATTGCCATTCTTAAGATGCATGATGCTAAAAATAGCCTGGTTGTTTCCTAATCTGTGGGCAGAGGATTGGGCTATGTTTAGCTCTTGAGAGGCTGGCAGCAGGAAGTGACTGGAGGTAGAGGGACTACTCACTCACCTTGTAGTTTTCAGCCTAAGGAGAAGTGGGGCAGGCCAGCACTAGGGGGCAATATAGAGCTATTTTCCTGCACATGCTCAGGTTGATTTTTATTCCTCAAGATTCCAAGATTTGAGGATAACAGGTAGGTGCTAAAGAAGATTTCCCTGGAATGGGAACAGATTTGTTAGACCCTCTTCTTCTTTTTCTGTGGCTTTCAAGTTTTTCCATTCCCTATGTGGGTATTTGTTTTTGCCCTCATATTGAATTATGATTGGTGTTTGATGGACGTATTAATCTTCTCCATTTAGATGGTTGCATATTTCTGTAAGTGCAAACCCACCTGAGGGTGCCACATAGAAAATGCCATCAGCCCAGTTTGTGCATTGCATCGTTTTGTGAAAGGTCTTCTAAGCGATAAATATGAAATGTTCACATTGGTCTGTTGTGACTTTAGTTCATTCCTGCTTTCAAGGACTCCTCCCAATGATACTTTCTTTCATTGAGCATTCCAAAGTCTCAAATGATGTTGACTCAGTCAAATCCCCAGGCCTGCTCAGCGTCAATATTAACATGGTATCTCAAGAGGTGTTATAAATGGAAAGCGATCGCTATGGCCAATGCTAGATCTTTGGATTTAGATGGTCATGTGTGAAGGTGCTTCAAAATTAGTTTTGAGGGATCAATGTCATTTAATCTGTTACCTGGTTTCTGACTTAATACTGTATTGCAGTTTCTGCCACTTTACTGTAAAAATAGCTTTATCCTCCAATATTATAAGTTGCCTTTGTGTCCTTACTTCTTAACCTTACTTTTAACCCTGAAGCCTCACATATAAGACTAAGGGTCTCCAGATTTAGCTTAAAGAAGGGGATGAGAGATAAGAATGACCTATGTAGGGTTTCTGGCCTATGCTTCCTGTATGACCATGGGGAAACATGACTGTTATCTGTGTGCACTCATTGTAGGGAGAATGCATACCATGAAATGAGTAAGTTCTGGGATGGCATTCTGAGTTGTAGCAAAAACCAAATGAAACAAGGCTTACTTTGTCTGTTACATATAGTCCAAACAGACACCAATCAGAAAGTTGTTGATGGAGTAAGGCCTCATGCACCTTGTGTAATTAATTGGTGAGTGATTTTGATTTACCCATAGACCCAAAACATGCTTCTTATCTTCTCATTTTCTTTAACTATGTTGAGTGAAGATTTGGAAAATGCCTCTGTTAGTAAGGGTTATCCTTATAAACATCACTTACTGTATGAGCTCTTTTCCTTAAGGATTTTCTGTGGCCTCTAGGAGAAAAATGGTCCCCTAGTAGTGCCTTTCCGAGAATGTGTATCTTGTGTTTATGGCTTTTCTGCCTCTTTTTCAGTGCCAGCTTCCTCCTCCTCCGACTGCCTATGTGTCTCTATCTAACAAAATCATGCCCACTCCCCAACCCTTTTTAGGTGGCAGCTCCTGAGCAGTACTTGACTAAAAAAACAGATACTCTCAATTCCTAGAAGAGCATCCAAGAGTAAATAGGCTCTGACTGAGGACTAAAGGGACTTTCCTGTCAGTGTATAAGTTGTACTGCGTGACCTTTGTGACATTTATTTGTGTTAGAGGCTTAAAAAAAAACAAAAAAAAACCCAGAACTTCCTCCTGGTTCTCTGCTCTGTTTGAGATAGTTGAGGAAGTTGAAGAAGTAAATTGCCATTATGTAATGATGAATATTGTTTTTCACAACAGGTGACAGAGAAGCCCTATTCTATATTATGGTAACTTTTCTCCCCTACCAACTGTTATCTTTTACGTTTAACCTGATATACTTTGTTTTGACTTCTAAAGGGTAATTGGGCAGTATAAAGGTCTGGAAGAAGATTCAGGGACTAGAATATCATTTGGTAAATAGTTGTAACTAGATGCTAGGGTCTCACACTAAACTTTCCTCAGAGGTGCTATTTTGTAGAGCTCTGTCTCAGGCTCTGAAGCCTTAGCTTTGTCTATCCTTATGTCATCCCCCTTGAAACTTATTTCTTGCTTATCTTCTTTATATTCTCTTCCACTTCATGTTTTTTCAAACTTTGCACTGCTAAAATTCTGTTTTATCTATAAACTTGCAGTTTTTGTAGAAACCAAATTCTAATGATAATGTGATGTGATATATAAATTATAATTGAATCAATGCATTCATAATGTCCACCCCCCTCCCCCCACAAATGTTTCCAGGACTGGTAGAATTTTCTCCATAGGTTTCTATTTGTATCAACCAAGTGGTGGAAGTTGTAATAAAAGTCACTTCATTTACTTAGTGTAATTTTGGTGTTTCTGATTGTTTTATTTGGAAGTGTTACACATAGCCAGACTATCTCTATATAACCCTGTATAATTTCTCTATAGCTCATTTATGAAATAGTCTCTGTTTATTCTTTTTCCACCATTGCCTCCAATTGCTATTTTTTCAAACTTCCCTTTCCTGTCACTTAAGGATACCTGTAGTGGTTGATTTTTCAATTGGTATGCACCAGTATTATTCTACAGATTATTAAATTCCTGAAATATTCCCAGTGGGTTGGAATGGAGCCAGTGCTACTCTTCCAGGATAAACAGACCACCTGCGAACCAGAAACTATGGGGTTAATGCCTGGCACAGCTCGGGACCTCTAGGACACGACTCCAACCCTGATGGTCTTCTTCCTGATTAATTGGTGTGCCTGCCAGATGGTTAAATTTGGACACTTTTAGCTACGGACAATCTAATTCATATTGGACTTCAAACTCCTATCTCTTCTCCCTGCTTGGCAGCTCAGGTCCAGCCCGTGGCTTGAAGGAACTGGAGTATGGAAGGATAGGGTGGCTTTCAAGCCTCTTTCTTTCAGCTTCTTTAGTTCTAGTTCAAGGGTTGGGGCCTGGACGTGAGATGGGGAAGGGGGATATGGCACACATGGTAAAGGATTGCA